CTGTTCCTGTCCCTGGCAAAGACGGGTATCCTTGCTAAAGTCACTCGTCAGCCATACCGGGCAGGGTGGTGGGGGCCCTTGATCCAAAAAACCTGCCTCTCAAGGGATGTCTGTCTGTGAGTATCTCACAGCTCCTTGCGCAAATGTTGACATGTTAACAAGAAGTCAAAATTCAGGGCCCTTTAAGGAAGCTTCTAGGAAGAAACAACTGAGGAATCAAAGAGAAGAAGTGAAATGACAGTCAACAGTGGGTTGATAAAAGCCACATAGGGCAATGCTGCGCCAGCTTCCTTGAGTACTCACATCTGCCGGGGTCTTGGCGCTCTGCAGGCTGGAGCCGGCCTGGGGCTCTGTGTCTCTAGCAACCCCTGCCCTGCCAAGAGCCACAGCCCACAACTGGGGCAGTGAGGGCAGGGGGCAGACTGGGACCTGCGGGTCCCCCTGCATGCTTTCATATGTCCTGTGAGCTAAGAGTGGGTTTTACATCACCATTATTATTATTATTATTATTATTATTATTTTGAGATGGAGTCTCGTTCTGTCTCTCAGGCTGGAGTGCAATGGTGTAATCTTGGCTCACTGCAATCTCCGCCTCTTGAGTTCAAGCGATCCTCCCATTTCAGCCTCCCGAGTAGCTGCAATTACAAGCGTGTGCCCCCACGCCCGACTAGGCTAATTTTTGTATTTTTAGTAGAGACGAGGTTTTACCATGTTGGCCAGGCTGGTCTCGAACTCCTGGCCTCAAGTGATCCGCCTGCCTCAGCCTCCCAAAGTGCTGGGATTACAGATGTGAGTCACCACACCTGACCGGGTTTTACGTTTTTAAGTGGTTAAAAAAAATCAAAAGAATAATCTTTGTGACACATTCAAATTTCAGTGCCCATGAAGTTTCGTGGGAACGGGCACGCCTGCCCTTTATTACTGTCTGTGGCTGCTGTCACAGGGCCGAATTAAGCCGCCGTGACTGGCCCCTCCCCGGGGCCAGCAGAGCGCAATGTTCCCTCTCCAGCCTTGACCCAGGCCCCGCCTGTGCCCCGCGTCGCTGCAGCCAGCAGGGAGCAGCAGAGAGCCACGCACACGCCCGGGCTGCGCAGGAACCGCAGCGGGGACGCGGGGGATTTGCGTCCCGGGCTGAAGCGGAGGTTTCCTAGCTGGGGTCTGAGATGTGGACCTGGGGTAGAACTGCCCACAGGGGATAGCAGGAGGAGACGGGGTGGGGGTGACAGTAATCGTGCAGGCAGGGCCGGCCTCATCCGGGTAGGCAGGGCAATAAGGGACAATTTGTTTGCTGGAGTGAAAGGGCAAGACCTGCAGGCAGGCGGGGGGAGAGTGACCCCACAGGGTGGGGCACCCCGAAGGCCACGTGGGCCTGGACTTCAGGCCGCGCCATAGGGAGTCACTGAAGGGCTCCAGGCGGTAACTTGATAGCCTCGGATTCTCGAAGAGGGATGTGGCTTTTTGGTGACTGTGCCTCAGGACGCTGTTGCTACAACCAGGGACAGAGTAACAGTGAGGGCTGAAAGGCAACATAGGGCAGGAGGGACCCGGGGCAGTGTGACAGCGAGGGCTGTAAGGCCATGTAGGACCAGAGGAACCCCGGGCAGTGTAACAGTGAGGGCTGTAAGATCACATAGAGCGGGGCGGG